TAGTGAAAGTATGAACCCTAGGCCTTGTTTCGAAGCATTACAATACCGTTTTCGCTCACTTTTATCACTTGTTACCTTGCTGTTTTTATATATTTTCATATTACAAAAACCATTATCTACCATCCATATTACACTTGTATCATCATCTCTTCGCCGAACTAGTGCACCTATACAATTTACCATTGTATTGGGTGTGTTGGGGACACAAGAGACTCTTTGTTATTTGGTTGCAGGGTTGTTTGAGGGAGACCATCTTCATCCTATGCCTCCCACGGATTGATAAACCTTAGGTCATCCACTTGAGGAAAATTTTCTACTGTACTACAAAACTCTGCGCTTGGAGGCCCAACACAAGTCTACAAGAAGAAGGTTGCGTAGTAGACATCAGCCACCTCCTAGGTCAGCACCTCATCCACTTTGTTGTTGACGACTTAGACACAGATGTGGAGGACACTGTGCTGCCATTGGCGTCCTCGACTTTGGGGCCCACAAGCGCCACAACGCCTCATAACGAAGAAACACATGATGGAGACAATACCACCCGGTGTCCGTTGCCCTCCTTCCTTCGTCACACCGGCCGACAAAATTTCGGTGCCTACCTAGTCCGACCCACTTAGAGATTTGCCGATGAAGTGAAATACCCTCCTTCATTGCTTATCTTCCAATTGGTTTGATTAAATGCAATGTGATTGTGAAAGAATAGTGGCAAATGTGCAATGTTTGTTTTAGCGATGATTCTGTGCATTTGGGAGGATCGACAGTCGGTGATGAATCATTACTAAATAGTATGACGAGTGATTTGGTTGCAATCAATGATTTCGATCTTGATGGTGCACCAGTAGAAAACTTTAAACAATTGGATACAAAGGGCAAAGATACTGATTTTATCCATTCCAACCCTCTGAATCATCATGGAAGAAAGTAATTTGACATCAAACTACACCACGAAATAGGATGTTGCTCCTATGAGGGGTCAAGAGATCATTCTTGATGTTGTCATCGAGAAATATCAAACGAGTGCAAATAATTGGTGGCACATCGAGGAGCATTTCCATCAACACCTTGAGCATAAATCAAAACACACTCTGAAATCTCACACATCGATGGATGCAATTCAAGAGATGTGCAACTGTTGGGCGGGTTGCTTGGACCAAGTGAGGCACGCTCCTCCTAGCGGTGCCACCATTGACCAATATGTGAGCACTCTTATTATTCTTTATTACCACATTTACATCACATTGAGCATTTTGAGCATTCTATGTTGTAGAGTAATATAGCCCAAGAGAGGTATCGACAAATGGCCAAGTCGAAGGGCAAATTTTTGGCCTCCAAAATTGTTCGAATATGTTGGAAGGCAACAAGAAATAGAAATCAAGGAATGACGAGGCTCCTCCAAAACATGGGAGTCAAGTCGCAAAAAATTCCTCTCTGAAATTGGATGGCTATGAGGAAGATTAAGGTGATGGGGAGGAAAGGTTTCCTAGAAGTCCCATTCCGATGTCTACCATGGGTCGGCCTGACAGGGGGAAGTGAGTAAAGGAGATGCTCAAGAGATAAGCAGAAGTGGAGCCGATGAAAAGCAAAATCAATGAGTCAATGAGGTTAATAAATGAGTACGCGAAGAATAATAAGAAAATGTGGAGATGGAGGAGCAGCTACAATAGAGGAGGGCGATGTGAGATGTTATGTAGGAAAGCACAAGGCAGAAGGAAGATATGAAGGCATGCAGGCTTAAAAATTGAGGAGGAACGGTTGATGCAAGCTCGAATAGCCGAGGAGGACCGAATTATCATGTTGGATTCGAATACCATGGATCCAATGGAAACATCATTCTGGAAGTTCACACTAGCAGAGATCATGTGTTGTAGGATGGGATGGAAGCACGATGCACACACCGGAGGAGTGAAAGGTGCACACACCGGAGGAGGGTAAGGTTTGCATACCAGAGGAGAGGAGGTGGCACACGCCGAAGGATGGGACAGTGCGCACCCCGAAGAAGGGGACGGTGCACACGCCCCTACATTGACATGTGATTTGTACATAGAAGTTTGCTTCAGTACCCCTTCCCCCTTTAAATTGTTTAAAAAGGTAAATGTGTCTTTTACTACACTAGTGTAAAAACGTTTTTATATTATGAGACGGAGGGAGTACATAACATACTAATTAGTGTTTGTATAGTGTTTAAAATTACATGTGTTGTCCTGTCCAATCCAAATCCAAACCTGGGCCTGATCTAGTCCTAGGTTGTTTGATGTACAAACTTGTACATGGATACGTAGGACTATCCCTTAGAAGGAGAGAATGCGTCCCGTAACAGTTACCGCCACTCATCCTGCTAGACAGGCATCGAGCGGCCGAGCGTTGTATTGCGTAGGAAAGGCAGGGCCGCTCTGCAGTGAGGGCAAGGGGAGGAGCACCTCGTCACTCATCTCGGTAGACCAGCATCGAGCATCCGACCATTGCGCCATGGAGAAAAGCTAGCGCCGCGCTTTCACGATGGCACTAGGGAGGGGAGGAGCGTTTCCATGAACTGCGGAAGAGCTAGCCCTATGGAGGAGATGCATTTCCGATGTCGTGTTGGAGAAGGAGCTAGCGGGGCTCGCGCATCATTGCCACAATGCCACCGATCGCCTCCGTCTAGTTCATGCGAGGAGAATGAGTTTGCCTATCTTCCTTTCTATTAGAATGCCCCACACAACTCTCGGAATGTCCCACACAACTCCAGCGAGGCTACTCGCTGCTAATCTCCACATCATTTAATGATATCGTGAGACACACCCTCGATTTACTTGTCCCCATAAACCTGACATGGCTGTGATGCTACACCGTCGTAGTAGGTGCACTCAGGGGCGTAGCTATGTAGAGCTAGCCGGTGTCACCGGCACCGGGTCCAATTTGAACTTGCTTAATGTAATCCATTGATTTAGTGTGTAGATCATTGAATTATTTGACATGTAGGCATGCATTCTTCTATGTGGACACCGGGTAATTTTCAATCTGAATCCGCCCCTGGATGCACTCCACGCATGACCTCACACGTGAGTAGAAATCGAACCTAGTCTAAGAGTCCACGAACTAACCTCGACTTACGTGCTCGGAAACTAGCCAACACACACCCCTTCTTCCGCCATACACGTGCTTTGGGTCGACCCATATGCGGGGCGGAGCGCCCCAGTTTTTTTTGTTTATTATTATTTTTGTTATTTTTTTTGCTTTTTTAACTCAAAAAATGTTCACGAATCCCAAATTCAAAAATGCTCGGGATTTCAAAAAAGTTCTGAACTTTTGAAAATATTTGTGAATTTGAAAAAGTTTCCAAATTTAAAAGTCCATGATTTTTAAAAATGTTCCTGGATTTCAAAAAATGTTCACGATTCATTAAATGTTTTGAATTTCAGAATACTGTTCGGAATTTAAAAAATTGTTCATGATTTCAAAAAATATTAAAAACTTTGAATAACTTTCTTGGTTTTAAAAAAATGTTCATGGATTTCAATAAATATTCGTAAATTTCAAAAATAATCATGATTTCCAAAAAAATCAACTTATAAAATATTCAGCAATTCAAAACAATGTTCACAAATTAAAGAATGATCTAAATTTCGAATAATGTTCCAAACAAATTAAAAAATATTTAAAAAAATGAAAAGTATTCTTAATTTCAAAACTTGTTCAAAATTTTGAAAAACAAATCTTTAAATGAAAGAAAATCACCAATTTGGAAATAAAAAAAATGGAAAATAGCAAACGGAAAAGGAAAATAGAAAAAGAGGGGAAACCAAAAAATAAAGGAAAGAATAAAAATAAAAAATGTAGATAACCAACAAAAAAACACAAAACCGGAAAGGCCCAAATAGGATATGCCCTTGAAAGACAAAGTATGTGAATACATACACTTTGGATAGAAATTAAAGTGGTATAACAATTAATGGACTGATTAATTCCCGAAAAATAGAGCGGTTAATTTTAAACTTGACCATCATGCCCTCCTATCTGAAGGGTCATTTTTTAATCTTAGTTGTTGATTCAGATAAGGGGGTGTACTGAAGCAGAAGTGTTGTATATATTGGTTGAATCCTTTGTTTTTTTGTGCATGTAACTTGTTAAAAAATACATGCATGATTGCCCATAAAATAATGTGAAACATTTAGTCCAGGTGTTCGAATGAAAATAAAGAGAAAATTGGAGACCTTCAAAATTAGAACCTAAACATCCAGTGAACATCATATTTGTAGGCTTGGCAAATCTAATGTTTTTGTATGGTAAGTTTTATTCATCAAGGATGGCAAATTTGGTTGGCAAGCATTGCGAATCCGTTTCAGTTCACTTTTTGTCAGGTAATTGCGATTCTTGCAAACTAAATTTACCATCCTCGTGATATTATAAATTGCCATGAAAAACTTTTAAGTCGCCATGCATTAGCATTTTCGAAAAATTATGAAGGGCACTACATGTGCATTATAGCGAATATTAAAGTTGGTCTAAAGTTTAAACATTACGGGATACTTTGTAAATGTATGTCGACTTGTGTGCTTCCCTCCGGCTCATTCGACCCGCCCTACATGATATGAATGAACACACATGCGGCGCCCTCGCTAGTTCTTGCGCGTGAAACCGTTTTCGTGCATCGACGATGAAAGCTATCTATGGTTTCTTCGTTCGAGTGACGGCATATGTTTTTCCCTCCATTAAAAACCACGAAAAAAGAAACCACGCATGCAGCTTCCATGGTCAAGTTCATGTGTTTTGGAACCCCAGATATGGCTCGGTCGATCTCACCTACTACAAAGACCCAAATTCAATGAAGTACCTAAACATTTATTCCCATGTCGCCACTCGAAATTTTCAATGCAACAAGCGCCGCCGTCAATCAGGTAGGTCGATCTCTAGAGTCCGAAGTGCATCGGGGGCTCTCGCGTGCTATATAAACGAGCGCCCACTGCCAGCATCATGCACACCACTCGCAAGCACAGCAGCGCCACAGTACCTAAGCAACAAAGATGGGCAGCACCACCGGAGCCAGCCTCCTCCGTGCCCTGCTGTTCGCGTCGCTCTTCGCCGGGTTCGCGGCGCATCTCGCCGCCGGGGAGAAGGACTGCTACGACGAGAGGGACAGCGTCATCCGCATGTGCAAGTGGACCATCAAGAAGGGGAGCCCCTACGTGATCCCGGACATGCCCTGCCGCCTCGAGGTGAGGAAGGTGGACATGCCCTGCATCTGCCGCGTCCTCACCGCCGCCGACGAGCGGATCATCAGCCCCGAGAAGCTCGTCCGCTGCTCCCGCGAAGCCGGCGTCGCCCTCCCCGTCGGGAGCAAATGCGGGAGTAAGCATTCGTGCATGCATGCAGCGCCTGATGCTTCTTTTCCATTACTGTTTTTCTTGCCACGGACTAGCTCATCTTATCCACGTACGTACGTGATTTTTGCAGCCTACACCATCGTGGCGCCAGCGCCACCATCCGCGCATGCGTGAGGAGTTCCGACCACGGGATCGTGCGAGAGGAAGGCGAGGGGAGGAGGACCGGAGGAGATGTCAGGGGAGAATAACTGAATAAGTGCGCGCGTGCCTGTATGCTCAGCTTTACTGAGCTACCGTAGTCCGTAGAATGTATCTTCTGCCATTCTGCCATAGCATGCGTGTTACCCTGAGATCTGAGTTGGTAATAATAAAAGCCTTCCTTCTACACTATGCTTGCGTAACAACGACTGCATTCCATGTTGGTTCTTCATCCCATTGCCCTGGGTTACTGCCGGAGTAGCTCATAGTCCCATACTGCTACTCTGGTCTCGAACTCCGAACACATTCATCCGGCGACGCCGTTTTGTTTCTAGCAACTAGCGAGTGATCATGGCTGTTCGATCTTTTTTAATTTGTTTGACATAAGCGTGCAGTCAATCGAGTTGCTAACAGTGTATGCGCGTGTGCTTTGTGCACATGCACGTGCACGCATAAAATCTCAAGGGCAACAATACTCCCTCTATAATTAAAGAGTAGTGATCCAAACGCTCTTATATATATTTACGGATGAGGGAATACCTATTAGCTTCACCGCTTTCGCCTGGGAGCTGGGAACGACGTTGTTTTTCTCGCGTATGGCTTTTCTTCAGCGGCTGTCTACGTTGACGGGAGTAGCAGTTTGTTTGTTTGTTTTTTGCGAGAGACATTTCTGAACTATTCATAATCAGTTATGACAGTACAGAGCACACTAAAGGTAATAGAAATTACATTTAGGTCTATAGACCACTTAGCGACATAGGCATAAGAATGGTTGTGCTGATTGCAAATGAGAACTTCCAGGCGATACATGTGTGGAGATTTGGGAGTAACTGTTAGAATAAATCCGAGGCGTTCCATCGATCTACCGAGGACCAAGCAATCACACGAGCACGACACCGAGATTTGTTAACGAGGTTCACCGATATGGCTACATCCCCGGAGCATGACTATGGGCGCTCCTCCCCATGACACCGCTACAATACCGCACCCCGGCCGCCCGGGCGTCGGCACACGCCGCCGGCTCCCCCCGCGTGCCCGTGCTATTATGTTGGCATAGGTTACATCGTGTGTCTACCCCCGATATATATGAGAGGCCTAGGATACAAGTGTCCTATTAGGACACAACTCCTATCCTGTCTACACACAGTCCAAAACCAAGTCCAATAGCAACCTATCTTGTACAATAATATTCGACACAAGTCTAACAAACTCCACCTTGGCGAATATTCTCCACCACCTTGAATTCGTCCGTGCGTCGAACCTCCATGTACATTGGACTTGAGATACGCCATGAGCACCGCTGCTACTCCCAGACTCCATATGACTCCACCTGCAACTGTAGTCCCTTCTCGTCTTCTTCACAGTCAATACTCGAGCAAAATTAAGTTCCTCAATACTCTACTTTGTGCTCCCAACTTTCGAAGAATCCGTTCAACACCATCACACACTGACCACTATCTGCGTGAAAATGAACAACTCACGTATTAAACGCCACAAATAAGAGTTATCTGAACTCAACATCACTATTCTTCCTTGATCGTCTGTCTGAAACTTGAAGGAATTTCACCGTCGCCTTGTGTCACCCTGAGTCAAATTCACAGTTGTCTCACCCTTTTCCCCGGATAGTCTCTGACATGTCCCACAGCTATAGCACTCAACCTCCTTCTGTACTTGTCACCTGCACTTTGCCATGTGCACCGAACACCACAGAATATACGGCCATGTACTCTCTCCGCTTTTGACAATTTCAGACTTTCTGTCACTTTCACAGATTTTCCATGGTCAACTCCTGTCCACCTTCCGGCACCGATAGACCCAGTCACCAACTTGAATCCGGTACTCGTCAACACTGCTTCAGCACCCCTGCACAATTTGTCTGACCACATGTCTGACCACCAGCGCCTTGGCCTGTCGCTGTGTCACCGTGCTTACCGCACGCCTCGCCGCTATCACCGCGTCGAGCCTCTGCTGTCCTGGCCGAGTCTCCCGGGTAGCTAGCCCCCACTATCTCAACTCCCACTGCAGAGAACCATCGATCATCGCCGACCGGTGCCGAGTATCACGCCTCCATCAGACCACTGGTACCCAGTCCGATCCACGTGTCTCTCACTATCCCGCTGAAATAGGCTTCGACTCTCCGAATTCTTACGCCATAGCCCCTCCATCAGCACAGAGTGTAGTCCTCCATCAGACTCCAACTCCACCTTCAACATGACTCCATGGTGGTTGTACGTGCCACCCTCCCGCGCCCTGTCGACTCCAAGCTCTCAAGTGCACCGTCTTGAATCAACCCTGCGCAATAGTCTTGTCGAAGCCACACAAACCCTCAGGCATGCACCACGTGTTTCCACGCCCCAGAAATTGGCCACCATCAACATCACGCTCCTATGTCGTCATCGCTGAAATCACCGCCATCTTCTGCTTTGACCAACATCCACGTCGATCCATCAGACAATCCAGTCCGACCCAGTCGAAATTATCCGACTGCAACCATACTCCACCCTGCGTCGTGTCCGCCCCGCACATCTCCGTGCATTGCTTGAACGCCCTGTGTATGCATGATCCGCACGACACACTGTCCTCGTCTTCACATATTTTTCGAGCCCTCTTCGCAAACTTGACAGAAAAAATTCCATGCAAACCTGACCCAAAGAATTCTTTGCACAATTATTTTTCCTTGTCACTATTTGCTAGTGCATGTCCGTGTACCCTTAGCAGCAAAGATCATCTATCTGCCAATGACACACACGCACACTCGTATCATGTGAAACCTGGACATCGTGCCTCTTCTTTTCGTGCAAACAAATCTCACGACATGATCCTGAACTTCAGCCCCCAATTGTGTCAGCCCGTGTAGCATAGCAGCCCAACTGTATGGGCCACCTTCTGCCTAAGGCTCCCCTGGGCCGCTGCCTGTAGCTTGCTGCTGCACCGGCCACACGCCCACGCTCGGGACTCCTATTGCCCCACGCTACACCTGAACGTGATCCAATCTGGTCTTGTCGAGTCCTCCGAAACACACGCCGCCGCCACTCGCCCAATATGCATCGATCCGATCGGCGCGCCGAGACTTTTGCTTCCGATTGCTTCTTCCCGGTCTTGTCTGATCACAGCGACTCGACGACTTCCCCGAAAGAATTCCCAATCAATTTCGATACCGATTTCTTTACATATCATTTTCGCACGATCTGACAACGATCCATCCTCTAGATCAACAATCCAGCAACCACCCAACAACCTAGCTCTGATATCACTTGTTAGAATAAATCCGAGGTGTTCCATCGATCTACCGAGGACCAAGCAATCACACGAGCACGACACCGAGATTTGTTAACGAGGTTCACCGATATGGCTACATCCCTGGGGCATGACTATGGGCGCTCCTCCCCATGACACCGCTACAATACCGCACCCCGGCCGCCCGGGCGTCGGCACACGCCGCCGGCTCCCCCCGCGTGCCCGTGCTATTACGTTGGCATATGTTACATCGTGTGTCTACCCCCGATATATATGAGAGGCCTAGGATACAAGTGTCCTATTAGGACACAACTCCTACCCTGTCTACACACAGTTCAAAACCAAGTTCAACTGTAACCTACCTTGTACAATAATATTCGACACAAGTCTAACAGTAACAGAATCATGGCTGGATGATTTGCAGGAAAAGTCCTTTACCCCCTGACCAAGCTGTTGTTACGCTTTTCTTCTGGTCTCATCAGACAGTTTGTATGAAATTAGAAAACCTATCTTTTATTCCTTCTTCTGGAGATCTGACTTGTAGGCTCTCACGAGAGGGAGTTGTAGTCTGTTGGTTTACGAGGTATCGGTAGTCTGCCGGTTTATCCCCTTGTGGTCGTTCGACGCTGATGGGTAGTTCTCATCATACCCCTTTAGATCACGCGGTCATCGTCTATTTCATGTTTCTTCTGGTAGATATAACAGACATTGTGGTTTCAGCTAATGAAAATCGGAGAGGACGCTCTCTTTATCAAATAAATAAATAGAAAAAATAGACATACTTTTGAGTGTGGTCCAGTCCAGTTTAAGCTGGGATCCCTGATTGAATTTTAGCATAGAACGCCAGTGCTATATCTCACCAACCGCGAGAAGGATATATCACTCACCAACTGCGAACGTGAGCTGCCCATGGCCCAGTAGTCGATCGAGAGCAAGTTCGGAACCTTCTACTCTCTAGTTTTGGAAGGGCAGCTACTAATCCCCGTGCTATTCGGTGCTAGCGTAGCAACACACACTCGTGCGCGCGCTTTGGGCCGGCTAGCCGGCCCATTGTGCAGTGGGACACCTATGTTTTCTCTTTCATTTTTTATGTCTTTTCTTTTTTGGTTTTTCTTTAGAAAATGTTTGAGCTTTTAAAACTGCCAAATTTCAAAAGAATTCATGATCCCAAAAAATCCAAATTTGATAATGTTCCCATTTAAAAAATAGTATTGGATTATAGAAAATCTAAAAGAATTTAAAATTATAAATAAATGTTCAAATATTAGGAAAAAGATCCGGAATTTCAATAAATTTTAAAGAAATTGAAAAATGTTCAAATAAGCAAAACTATTTGCCAATTTAATAAATCATTAATTTCAAAACATGTTATAAATTTCAAAAACAATACACTGATTCAAAGAGTATTCGCGAGTTCCAAATAAAGTTCATGAATTCCAAGAGTTGTTCCCAAAATTCAGAAAATATCCATCGATTCCAAAAATGTTAGCAGATTCATAAAAACTTCACGAATTTGATAAATTGCTCCCAGATGTCGAAACAATTGTTCATGGATTTGAAAAAATGTTCTTGGATTTCAACATTTCATGAATTTGAATCCCCCCCCCATATTTCATAAAAAATAACAAATTTAAAACGGTTCACGAACT